AAAAATAAATAAAATAAAATAGAAGAAGGAGGACATGAAAGAAGTGGACAGAAAGAAAATGCTCTCCAGAGAGCCCTGCTTCCATTTATCTCCCTTTTGGCACATAAACCCTGTCTCTTGATTTATGCTAAAAGACAAAGCTCTCAACTTACACACTGATTTTGGATCCAGCTGAAATGGAGTCCCTGTTCTTAGTGTCACAATAATTACTTGAAAGGTTTCAGTCTTTGCTGACCCAATGTGGTGATGTGCTGAGTTTCATCATTAAGTGTCACTGCAGGGTCTTTGAAGTTGGGAAACCCAGACACTGCTTATTGTAAGAGGCTGACTATTCCACAGCTTTCCAATGTGGTTGACTTAGTATTTACAGTGCCAAGTGAGTTGATACTACAAGTATTTAATTAATAAAAGTATTGTTTTCCTTTTTTTAATTTCACAAATGGAATTAATGATGGTAGAAAGGGAAAAATATCCATTCTGTTTTGAATCGGCAAGTAGTTTTCATTTTGCAACCTGATTCCTCTTAACTTGATGGAAAGCCATGTTTTGGAGGATAGTGAAGCTACTTCTGGGCTTTGGAGGAAAGAACTCTAAGTGCCACCAGCAGTATCTGCCCCAACACAGGAAAAGGAGGTCAACACATCTTTCAAATATTTGTTATCCTTGGCTTAGTTGAATAAATATTTATTGAATGCCTATTATTAGCAAAGTAGTGTGTAAAGTACAGTCTTTTATTTGTTTTGTATTGTTTTCATTGTAGAGAAAGGAGATGTGGTCCTGCCTTTAACAAAGAAGAAGGAGAAAGAAAGAAAGAAAAGAAGCAGTTGGAGCACTTAGAATAGTAAGGATTTTGTATTTATTCTAAGAATACTGTATCTTCTACCCACATCCCTGAAACAGTAACAGACTAATTTATTAGCTTTAAGGTGGGCTAAAATCAAATCATGAAACAAGATGTCTTTTTTTTATATAAATATTTTGACTCTCCTTTTACTACCTGAAATGAAACTCAATGTGCATATATATTTATACCCATAATTATAAAAAAAATCAGTGTAATAATCCAAATAATGGAAAGGAAAAATATAGTGAAAGCAAGTAATAAATAATAAATATTTATTATATATTTCAGTATATAAGTGTTCAAACCAAAATATGCTAGAAACACCATGAAGTCAGTGACTGTGGTAGCTACAAACAAGATTTCCTACATATATCCCAAAAGGTTGAGACTATTAGACTAGAGAGACTACATAGCCTGTTTTCCATATCAGAACATCCAACCAAACACACTCACTGCCACAATCTCCCACTTAGGGTTTAGCCAGCCCTCCCTTCACTTCTCCTACTCTAGATGTCTGACAGGCGCCAAGACTTGTTTACTGAACACAGTAACTGGAAAACAAGAATATTCAGTTAGGAGAACAAAGTGGGGAGAAGCATGGTAGTAGGAATCAGACTGTTCATCTTCTAGTTTCACAAACATGTACAGGAATACACAACTATGCAAAACCTCCACTGAGCCATCACAGATACACAATGGTATTTTTGTTCAAGCAGTTAAATGAAGTAGGAATTCAGATTGGTCATCTCCTAGTTTCACAAACACGTACAGGAATACACAACTATGCAAAACCTCCACTGAGCCCTCACAGATACACAATGGTATTTTCGTTCAAGCACTTAAATGAAGTCCATTCCTTGAAGAACCAGCCCGCAGTACCTCAACAGGTGCAGATAGTTCATATTTATTGTCATTGACTCGACCTAACACCCAAAATGGAGAACAAAGTGACTGCACTGTTCACTGGCTTTAGCATTCATTTCCTCCACTGAAAACCAGGTTGATTAGACTTAGCCAGCCATCTCTCTAGGTTAATCTTTCTCTGGGAAAGACCTTTGCTTTTTAATACTTGAATATTCACAAATGTTTTCCAAGGTTGCTCACCTAGGAAATGCTAATACATACATATCCAAAACTCAATACAATGAAACAAAGTGATATGCAGGAAAAGGAAAAGATGCATTCTTGATAGAACATCTGAGTTCCGTGTGGACATTTTGAAGAGTATGCAATGTCCAAGGCTATGGCTGTACACCAACCAAAAGTTTCTCAGTAACCATATTAAATACTTAGCATCTCATATCCTAAATATGACATTTGTTATTGAAATAGTGCTATTTTGCTGGACTTTACAAATAGCTAAGAAGTTAGTTGAGAGTTTTAGATTGACATGCAATAAAACAAAGTTTTAATTTTTACCATTTAATACTGTAGGAAATAATTTCTCCTGGTGGGTATTCTCATGTCAAAAGTCTGATTATCAGGAATAGATAATTAATGTGGAGATAGCTGTCCATATTATAACTCTAGGCATCCAAGTGAAATAGAACAACTCATTCTTATTATGAATCAGGAGAGCTGGAGTCTTTTATTTTAGATAAGTTAATCACCCTAAGAGGTTTCTCTTAGGGATTTTAAGAAAGTCACAAATTAATGTACTTAAAGTATTACAAAATCCCATATTGCTGAAAACCTCTGTAATATTATCTGCTTATATAGATAGCAACCATTTAGCAATGATTCATTCACCTTTGCTGGATGGATTAAGCAGACAATGAGAAGGACCAGAGTCAACTGCCTGCATTTCCATACCTCTTCAATGTGACTACACTGTAGACTACCCTCCAGTTAATTTCATTATTTCCAGTACTCTCTAGCTATTGCCTTGACACAGTAAAATAATTACTGCTCTCTACTTATATCCTTAGAATTTCCAGGTCTCAAACGAGATCATTTTCTTATATTAAT